TTTGCTGTTTAATCTCCCCATGGGGAAAGAGTTGTGCCCTGGGACCACTTCAGTCCGTCTCACACTCACGTACAACAGGCCACACACCTGCCGTGGAAGGGGTCATGGATTAAGGCTACCCAAAGCATCCCAGTATATAAGCCTCCTTCTTGCATGCCTGCCAGACTTACTTGAGCCGTTCAGACTGACGTTTTACCCAAAGGGTGAGGCTGGACACAAGGGACCTGCAGGTATTTCCTGATGTTGCAGTGCTTGGGTTTACGGGCTTTGTGTTCACTTAGCACATGGCAAACGCACACATGTGCTCTTGTGTGCACCCTCACACATGCACCCAAGTGTGCACATGCCAAATATATATTCAAGGAATATATTTTTAATCCCTGGGTACAGTTCAGCCCCCACAAAATGAGACATAGTGATGCATCTGCCTAGAGCTGCTGGTCTGGAGGGGTGAAGCTCATCCCAAAGGCATCTCTTTTCTTTGGATTCAGGACAGGGCCTGTTGCTTGCTTCTTGTTTCCGAGTCACCGAGGCCCCTGCGTGCTAGTGCGATGATTGCTAAAAACGCCCTGCTGTAATACCACCGCAGGCAGCTGACAAGGCTGCGCCTGTCCTCGTCACACACATCTGTTGGCATCCGACGAAATTCTCCTGGTCCCTTCATTCATCTCCGGGTGTCAGACTGTAAATCTGCTGCAATGGGAGCGGTCTCCTTTCTGTCTCTGTGCAGCACCTGATATAACCCAGGTATCCAGCCCCAACCAGGTTTTTCCAGCCTGCGTCACATTCGCTCCTGCTCCTAACAAATGCAATAGCAATATAATCAATGGAGGTTTTCCTAGACCCTTTCCTAGCAGAGAGGGCAGGCCAGTGGGCAAAATTGACTCCTGCTTCTGCCATGTGACCCTGGCAAAGGTGATCCTCCTCTGCCCTTTTCCTCATCTCCTCTCAGCTGGGGCCCTTGGCTACCATAGTGCAAATAATAAGTAACCAGCACCCCCAACCACTATGCCACATTGCACTTGCTCACACCCAGCTGGCAAATGCATGCTCGTTCAAAAGCTCCCGCCCCATCCGTGGCTCCCACCGCAGCAAAGCATCCCGAGAGCCTGCCCGGGAGGAGCCGCGGGCTGAGCGGGCTGGAGCTTTCCGCCGGCGCTCCCTTAGCCTTGCTGCCACACCTTGCCAAGGGCTCGCATTTCATCTTGTTGCAGCATAATTCAGAGTCAAAAGAGCTTCTGCAGCATTTTCGACTCGCATTAGAGCAACTTAGTAGGAAAGATGTTAACAATGGGGTCAGGTGAGGTCAGGTAAGCAGAACAGTTCAAGCGTTGCTATGGAGTTTGTTGAATTAGACATAGAACAAGGAGAAGCTGGTTAAATGAGCTGACCCTGGCTACCCACGCTGTGCCCTCTCTGACAAAGGGACACACTGGGAAACTCTAATATGTCAAAGCTTCATGGGATTTGCTGCTTTTTTATTTTTTTAATTTTTTTTGTACATGCCAGCCTATTTCTCCTCTTGCCTGTGGGGGGACACGAGGGACTTTCTGGACAAGAACGGGACTGCTCCTGACTTCTCGCAGCAGTGCCCATCCTGAGCCTCACCTTGCTGCCTCTCGTCTCCAACACCAGCGGGGACCCGGCTGGTGATTTTGGTACCGGCCATTCAACAGGATTGCCCCTCCCTGCCAGTGGGATCCTTCTTTAATACCAGGCTTTGCATTTGCCCATGAAAGCCTCTTGTCACTGCCTGCCTGACTGCAGCATCACCAAGGAGCTGGCTTTTTAATGCCAGCTTTGCACTCACATCATGGCTCCTTTTTTTCTATCACTGTCCATAGTTTTCTTGCAGATACAAAGCTTTGGTTAAAGCCATCAGACAACTGCATGCAGTGCACCATGCTTGGGACTATTACCTTCTGGGGACTACCAATTTACATGATTCGTGTCCCTGACACTCAGGATGGTCCTGGTTTTCATGGTCAACCCAAGCATCCTGTCCATGCAAAGCGCTCAATTATTTTGCAGCTTCTGCAGACACTCCAGGGTACAAATAATGCTAAATATCATTCCTGCAGCTCAGGTAGCTCCCTAAGCATCCTGTGGGCACTGCTCAGCAATGCCGTGCTGTCTCTCAGCCTCCCTCCCAGAGCCGGCGAGGGGATGCAGCTATCTAGACCAGCACCGCAGGCCTCACATTCCTCCCTGGAAAGGGGTCAAGTGGCCAGGCCAATAGAAAAGACTTGATTTGTGCACATCAACCCATGTGTGACGAGCACGAGATTTGTTTGACATCTCTTTCCGAGCAAGGTCAAGTTGTACCTTGCCGGTGCTGATTCCAGCAATAAGGCAAGCCGGGCGATGGACCCGTCCTCTGAATTCCCCCCGGAGAGCCAGCCCCGTGCCAGCAGGCTCGTTATTATACCGGCTGGGGGGGCTCCCCCCAGCCGCATCCAACCAGCCAACCGCGCTCGCAATAAAAGCACAGAACGAACTTGCTTTTGCCGACGCACTTTTATTTTCCAAGGCTTTCAGGGCTTTCCCCCACCGCCTCCTCCATCATTTATTTATGCGGCAACATTTGTTCGGAGTTGGAAAAGTTTTCCGCACGGAGCCCTTCAGAATAAGACATCAGAGAGCTGTTTGCCAACTGGCAACATAAAAGGAGGAAATACAGTGCAAGGAGCAAACATCTTTATAGCCTCAAAGTTGTTCTCTGCTGGTGGCTTTCTGCACCAAGACCGTCTCCCACCCCCGGGGCTGAGCAGGGAGGAGCGTGCTGCCAGCTCCCTCTGGGAGGTCTCTCATTTACAGCTGGGTTCAAGGCCAAAAGGAAGTGCGTGTGCTTGTGCATCCCACGAGCAAGCCAGGGAGATGGGGCTCCGCGCTTAGCATCATTTACTCTTTATATACAAAGCCATGACCCTGGACTCATGTTTTTCAGCGTATCCATCATATGCTTCTGCTCTCTCCTGGCGGTAATCAGGCAGAGGGAGGAAGGGGTCTATAGGGAAGAGGCGAGTTTATTCTGCACTCTCAAAGTCAAAAATGTGAAGCCGCAGCCAGCTCGGAGGATACGAGATCCTCCGCCCCCTGCCCCCATACAGCTGATGATGACAGCAGATCCAAGCTTCGGCACAGCTATTGCCGGTGGGGCCCAGGCAATCGTGGGTGGTTGCTTGGGCTTTTAGGAGCAATAAGTCCTGATGTCTGTCTGGGGAGGTCTTGTGGCTTAGGGCCTCAAGATGTAGTCCATCATTTGGGTAAGCTTAGGCTAGAAACCTCAATTTGAATCTCTCTAAAGTCAGGGGAAAGGCTCCCTGGTCCCTGGTTCCTTCAACAGGACTGCATTCAGCTGCAACGGGAGCCTGCACGAATGGTGATGCACGCTATGGTGACTTGAATTGCCCTGGGAGCGAGGACGTGAGAGGCTGCCCCAGAGGCATGGCTCAGCCCTGCAGACTGGAAGGTCTCCCGTCTACCGGGCCAGCCAAACCGTCTTGCAATGCTGCAGGCGTTGAGCAAACCGAGGGCATGGGAGAGCAGAACATCATATTTGCATGGGCAGGCCATGAGGGCACACTGAGCTGTGCCAGAGATCCTCAAGCCCAGCACATCAAGTAGGCTTTATTTAGTGCATCTAGAGAGAGAACAAGTGAAATAACGGAGTTCAGGGATAAGGGCACGGCTCCTGTGGATACAGAGAGCTGAAACTATCAATACAAGGGCTCAGAGTGATTTTCATGAATCAGCCTAGCAATGTCAGACCCTCTCCTCTCGGCTGGAAGGAGAGGATTCGGAAGCATTAGTAATTTTTTTTTTTTTTTTTGGACAGTACTGTGACTGTGTCTCGGAAAAAGAGTCCTTGGCTTCCCTGAGCTGTTAGTAATCACCCAGCGCCTCATCCGCCTGACTTTGATGGAAAACACGAGCACAATTCACTCACCTACACAACTCAGCCCCAGCTTGTCAGGGGCCCAGACACCTGCCAAGACAGCCAGGAGCCTGTGGAGCAGTTTTGGGTTGTTTTGAGCTGTAGCTTGCAATGCTCGTCTCCCTTCCCCTGCGGGCACTTGTGGTGCCATTGTCTGTCCAGGATTTGGCTTCATTTCAGGATATCCAGCCTCTGCAAGGACATGCAGAGAATAATGGCCCCTCAATGAAAAATACACTGGTTTCCCCCTTCTTACAAAGCCTCCAAGGCGTATGCACGCGCGTACAATGCGCACACATGTATGTGCACGCTCACACAGCCGGAGACAGTCTTAGTGGAGATAAGCACACACAGATGCCTCCTCCCCAAAGCAGATGAATATACACATGCAGTCACCGCTATCCAACCTACTGCTGATGAAATGGGAAATGAATGCACGGTGCCTTGCTTAGCACAAGCACGGATTTGGGGAGCACTAATCTATCATTGTCTTTTCTTCTTTGATCTCTGATTCAGCAAGCCTCAGATCCATTAAATCTTTGCAAATAAAGGAGCTGGCACACTCTAGGCTGCAGGGGTGGGGGCTCCATTAAATCTTTGCAAATAAAGGAGCTGGCGCACTCTAGGCTGCAGGGGTGGGGGTTTTTTTTTTTGGTTGTTTTTTTTTTTCCCTGAGTGCGTGCGTGTGTTGTGGAAAACAAAGTTTGGATATAATGAAATCCCCTAAATTATTTGAAGAATAAAAGGCGCTCAGTGCTTGCCAGGCAGGCGTGGAGGGGGAAAAAAAGCAGCTAAAAAGCTACTGCTGAGCATATTAAAGAATGGCATTATCAAGTGGAACAGACAAGACATGTATATAATGCATAAGTAGTGTTTGCTTCTTCTCCAAACAACTCATAGATCACTAGGACACAAGCTCCTAGGAAGAGCAAAAAGGGAAGAGAGAGCAATGTTTGATAGCATCAGAGGAGATGAGTCTGGCACTGGGAAACAGCATGGGGTTTATCAGGGGCTGGGATCGAGATGGGGCTGGATGATGTGCATGGGCTTTGGGGCATAAGGGAGGAGACCCTGCCTGGAAGCTGCGTGGAAGGAGGAGCCTTGTGCTGCAGAAGGAGCTGGAGGCTTGTCCGTGGGTCTCTGCAGCTCGAGAGAGGCAGGAGGTTGTTACCCGGTCAGTGATTTGGGGGCAAAAGGTTTTAAAAAGGAAAATGAATCCAACCACAGGCAGTCAGGCAGAGCTTAGCGGCTCCATTTGTGGGTCTCAGACCAGCTCACGAGAGGGGCTGGTGTCAGATTGGGAAGTCCAGCAGCATGTGGACCCCATTGCACCAACCGGTCTGACAAAGCAGCCAGGGATGAGAGACACCCACCTTCCCTTTTCCATCCATCTCCCAGGAGGGTGGGCAAGGGAGCAGGAACAGCGCCGTGGGTCAGGTGCAGAGCCTGGCCTCACAAAGTCCCACGACGGCTGCAGGTTTCCCATCCAGCGAGCACGAGGCACCGCGACGCAGGGCTGACGGAGCAGCTCCATTTCCTTGCAACACAAGGAGGATTAAAATTCATTAATGCCCTACAAATTAAAGGACTAACGACAGTGACCAAGCTTAAATGAGAACCTCAGAAGCGAGTCAGCGTGCCAGGCTGGGCCTTTCAGCTTTCTCCCACCTAGCGGCATTGTTCTCCTGGTTGCAAGCAGGCACTTTTTAATATGCCGTGACAGCCGCGGTGCTGACCCCAGACAATAAACAGGGCCTAGGAGTTAAACATTAATCTGCAGAAGGAATGACCTTCAGCCACTAAAGAAGGGCTGTTTTTAAAAACTCGGAAGTGTGAGGAAGGTTCATTTGCTTGCTCATTTAGCATATTAAAAGGGTATTATTGCTACAAACAAGAAATCTAAATTAGCCCCCAGTTGAAGCTTCGGATAACACTTCAGATGAAAGGTTCGGGGTAATGATTAACATGCAGCATCTAAACCGTTTATTGTTCATAAACAAGGCAGGGCATATTTCCCTCTCATGATAAGTAACGGGATGCCCGTAATGGAGCTGTGCAGAGACAGAAGAGCAACACGAAGGCAGAGGAGGGCTTGGCGGGGCGCGGTGCCGCCTGTCCACCCAGCCCAGAGAAGTGCAGGTCTTGCCCCAAACCCGTTACCTCCACGTCTCCCTTCACCACTTGCAGCTGTCACCGGAGAGAGCCGGGAGCCGCAGCGAGGTTAATGATCTCCTTGCAGCAAGGTAGGCCGTTGCTGTGTGCAGGGGAGGGCGGATGGTTGTGAAATCGCTGCATTTGGTTTCTCTGTTGCTTGAAGCCATTAATGCGGGGCTTTCATTAACAAGCAACAATGGGGTCATAGTATGCCAGCTCATGTCCATTGCCCCGAAGTTTTGGGGTGGGGGAGTGGAGTCAGGGGTCACCGGGGGCAGAAGTCACTGTGAAATGCACAAGCCAGGTACTGATCTGTGATATCCAAGGGTGCCCAAACCTGTTGGGTGTGCGGCAGGAGGAGAGAAGTCTCTTGAGAAGGAACATTTGCCCCTACTGGTTTCATTTGCAGCTAATACGGTTGACAGCATCTAGTGAATCCTGCCCTTGTGTGCTGCTGCTCCAGCATCTCCTGTCCTGAGCAGGACAGAGGAGTGGGAAGACGAGACGTTCTAGGTCAAACAGTGTCAGTGCCTTGGAGACCGCCAAGGGCTGGGGCGAGGGATAGGGACAGGCAGAAATCCACAACTCTTAGGCTAGGGACAGAAATTAAACATAAACCAGTATAGGTGGTTGGAAACTGGTGCAAATTTGTAACCCGACAGAAGCTCAGTGTATATAAACTGCTTTCAAAATGACTTAAGATAAACCTGGATGTAGTGTCAGACTTAACTGATTTAGGTTGATCGGTTTATTGCTCTTCCGTCCCAGATCCCCATGTCCCCAGTCTTTTGTGCTCAAGTTGGTACCATGAAGACTGTTGAATGAGCAGCATCCCCTGGCAGGGGCCAGTTCATTTGATGGTCCTGGACTGCCTGGGAGGTTCTCTGAGGAGCCCTCCCAGACCTCCCCGCTCCCGGAGCTGGCAGTAGCCACGAGGAGTCCTTGGCTGGGAAAGAGCTGGGCACAAAAGGCTCTGGGTGGGAGTTACCATCTCCTTGGTCAAATTGCATGCGGTGGTTTTACTTGGGAGCTTTCTGGGTCATCCATCAGGGAGGATCTACCATGAGCGGGTCTTAGCTAGAAGCTGTTTTCTGCAGACGAATGGCACACCCGTCCTAGCCCCATTTAAACCTGGCAGGGAGCCCCTGACCTGCGAGTTGCGTTGGCCACTGAAGCATTTCCTGGTGCCGTTCACCTTTGCAAGGTGGTCCGCCTCTCCTGTGTTTGCAAACCCCACTTTGCAGGAAGACCCGCCTTGTGCATCTCACCTCTTAAATAGACTTGTCAGCCACCCCACTGCTATGACTGCTCCCAGCTCCGGCTCCCTGGACTGGGGGAAGCATGAAAACAGACAGAGGAGAAAGCTGCCAAGTCCACTGAGAGCTGCAAATTGCTTCCCCTCCCCGTGCTACTTTCACAGCCGTGCAGGGGAAAGGCAGAAGGGAAGGTCTTGCCATCGCGGCCGAGCGGGGAAATGAGACGGCTATTATTTGTCCCATCCAGTGGAGGCTGTAGACCTCCTGTGCTTTATAAGCAGATCTGATTAGAGGTTAGTGCATGAAGAGGAGTGAGGCAAGGTCCTCGTGGAGG